CCCCCCCCCCCACCCCCTTTGGGCGCGCGATTCGGTTACGAGCGCACTAACCATGAGGCCGCCCAATATAATTAGCTGAAGACTCGCACTAAACATCGCTAACACATTTTTGGCTCCTGAAATGGTCGATATCATGAGCAGTTAAGAACCATAATATTAAGAAAAAAATTTCATAGGGAAACTTTCACTTGGTACTTCTCACGATCAGTCCCAGCAAGGCCCAACCGACGTGTTTGGACGTCTAAACGCCGTTCTCAGGCTCTTCTTTCTCACTCTTAGCTCTCCATTCTTCCGTCTTCATTCTTCACTCTTCACTCTTCACTCTCCGCTCTAAACTCTCCGCTCTCCACTCTCCGCTCTCCGCTCTCCGCTCTCCGCTCTCCGCTCTCCGCTCTCCGCTCTCCGCTCTCCGCTCTCCGCTTGCCATCACGTCTCTTACGCATATCAATATCGACTGTATAAAAAATGCGTAGAAACTGTTATGCGATTCTTCAGAGTCATAGAAACAGCAGGGTTTGCGGTCAACCAGGAGCTTGCGTTTTTGGTCAGATCAATGACGCGATCACCAGCCGTACTTTCGAGAAGTGAGCCCGCGCTCACCCCCTCTCAGTTTCGGGGAGGACCTGATCATGAGAGAGCGGCGGAAATCAAGCACATACAAAACTAAGCTAATTTTATAACATTTACGAAGCTGTACCAATCGAAAGATCGGGTAAAACTGGTTTTACGCGGGATTGATGATGAGTCTCCACTTTCACTGTTTCAGCTCAATATCTGAACGTGACCTTGTTTTCATGCGAGGGTTTCCCCTGTATTAGTTGATAAGTGGATAAGTGGTGTGATGTCGAATGATGTGTCAATGACATTCCGTCTTTCAGTAAAAATTTCCAAGATACGTAAAGTTTGCGCGCTTTCTTCGCGACCGATTTGTCAGAATCTATAAAAAGAAACACATACAACGACAGATCGATTTAAGCACTTTTAATCGTGAATTTTGTAAACGTTTAATATTGTTTCCTTCTCTCTTTGGTATGTAGTCTTTGGACCGGAAGACCATATATGGGATGTGGCATGATTTGAGTTATTATTAGAGACAGGTCATTGTGCAGTAGTCAAAAACCTGTGGTCTTCACAGGAAGCTCTTTTATTCATCCACATTGTTGTATTGGAAGGAACAATTTTTTTTTCCCATCCAAACGACAACGCTGCTTCACTAAACTACACGTTCAACAGAAATAATCCGATCACAAAGCGGGCCCGAAGTGTGACCTCCTAATATGGAAAAAAGTTGATCACGTGGCTCTCAAAGCCAAAGGAAATCTGAAAAGAAGTCGCAGCGTTTTCTTGAGAAAAGAACTTGAAAGTCAGCATTGTTAATTATCAAAATGGATTGAGAAAGTTTTTGCGTCTTCTCACGACGGCATTACGACACCATAAGCCCAGTTCGTGGCCGACCAAGACAGATTTGATACCTGTTCAAGTTGGCGACTTTAAACACGACATCATGGCTGGTTGTGAAGAAAGCTGTGGCTTCTACTTCGTTTTCGCGCTTGTGACGTTTTTTGTGTGGATGGACCTCAGCTTCTTCGATGAACTTGCAGAGCATGGTTCATTCTACAATTCATCAATGGCAGAAAATATGATGTTCCCCGTGAAATCCATAAAACTCCGGATGCAGGACCACACGGATCATTACGTAAACCTTCCATGGATGCAATTTTTTAACGAGAATACCGGCTTACACGCCGTTCCCGGCGTTACTCCCAATCTTATCAGTGGAATTCATCTCTTTCTCGCTGTCCTGGCTGCTAAATGCTTTATTTCGGGCTCCCTTGGTATCCGAAGACTCGGAGTTGTCCTTTACGAACTTCGCTGTCAGCTTGATATTTTAGACGGTGTTGTATTTCGTGCTCAACAAAATTTGAAGGGGAATTTTATGTCCGTTTGGGGCTCCATGGGTTATCTTGTCGACGCTTTTGCCGATATGTGTGGCGGTCTTTTAGTTGGAGGAGCATGTGCGGTTTTTCTAAATCGATATCCACCGTGGAAACGGGTCAGAGCAAAACCTCATGATGAACTTGAATCGGGAAGAAAAGCGGTGTGTTTTCAAAGCGAAGAAGAGGAGCGATATGTCCATGTTAGTCGGCGTTCAGTGAATATTAAAATGCTGCTTGTTGTGGTGCAAATAATTGCCAGAAGTGGTTTTTGGGATCATTACTTGCATTCGTATGTGGAGTTACTGGAGAAACCTAACCCAGACATACCAAGGGTAAGTGGCATGTTTACTCATGCAGCTGCTTGTAGTAAGCTCTTATATTCTATTGTTGGACTTGGAAATTAAGGTTCGTTTTCCTTTAGAGTGAAATTTGTTGTATAATTCAGGGTAAATCTCTGTACAGAGAGCCTAATTTGCCGACAACAGTAAAAAAAAAACGGGGAAATATTCTCGATTTTTAAATTTATGAAAACAGACTACCCTAGAAAAGTACAAAATGTAAGCTTACAGCAGTCCTACTATATATAAGAACTTGTTATTTCTGAAAATTTTGTTGAAAGTTAGAAGAATTAATCTACTGGATTAATCTACCAAGATGTATAATATGCCCAAGAGTTATATGCAACAAGACATCTATTTACTGTACAGTATTTATATCTGCAGAAAACAGACATTGTCCACATGTCACATTATGCAGATTGTCATTATGCAGATTGCACAAAACAGACACAATAGTTTCCTTTGTTCGCTGTCCTTTTGTCTAGGTGGCAGTAAGACCATTAAGTCAGAAAATGAAAAGAAACTCCTTATGATTCTGAATAGCTAGCAGAAAATTTGTGTAACTTGAATCCATCTAGATATAATGCACCGTTGCTCAGTGCAAATAAATAACTGAATAAACTGGTCATAGCATATCATGCGTCTGGGTATCTTTATTATACTCATAGGCTCATTATAAGTATATTCATAATGCAGGTGTCATTGAATGCTGGTTTAGACGCTCAGCATCATTGTGTTAAGTCTGGTTTCTGCCACCTTGTGTTCCCGAAAAACTTAACTCTCACATTTCCTACCTGTCTTGACCCAGACGCATGAGTGACTATTGTCAGTAAGTTTCTTAGGCTACCAAATAAAATGCTGGAGCAAGAATGTGCAGTGGATTTTCTATACTGGCTCTATACACCTGCTGGTGTATTATATTTCCTTCCAGTGCAAGAACACATGTAGACATCAATATTTCAAACCATTCTCACAAATGATTAGTTTCTTAAACTACTGCGCTTCTTCACTGGGAAGATGAAACACATCTATGATCAGTAGACCTCTTACGCTTTGTTGTCCATTTCTATTAAGAGTGTCTTTCTGTTTCGACTTAAATCATGTTCAAATAGGTATGAATCTACTATTACTTTTAGAAAGAGGAAGGAAAGGTGTTTTAGAGAATGTCACATGTAGAGGTTTCAATAATCTTTACGTAGGAGGTCAAAGCTGCAAAGTAGGAGGCTCACTGAAGTTCAATTTTTGCTGTGATCTCTTTAAGAAATTGGACTGCAACTTTAGGTGAATTTGCTGGATATGGTGGAGGATTTTAGCCCTTAACTGATCTTATTGAAACCTCTCCACATGATCTATAATGGGTAATAAAGATATGAAGCTAAACAGGTCTATTAAAGTGAATTCATGCATGAGTTTCAATGCAGAAAATGGAGATGGAAAGTTGAGCTTTGGTAGATGTCAATCATCTCTGCCTCTTCTCCTCTATTGTGTGAAATCTCAAGAATATCTCAATTTTGCCTTCAAAGTTTGTGGTTTATGTCCGCTGGAACTCAAGTTAAAATTTTGATCACAACATTTTTGCCTGAATGTCCTTCATCAGTTTGGTGTTTTTGGAATTGTCAAAAGAAAGAAGCTTGGACCATCCACACAGTCGAGTGCAACCAAATGTCTTTTAGTGGCACAAAGTTTGATGTGATTTCGTCTAAGTTAATGATCAGTTATTGAATCACTTTAGTATAATACTATAATTGCTACAATAAATACCAAGTGGAAACTCTGATCGGTGCTGTTTTTATTTCTTGAAACAGGAATTACAGGCAGAAGTGCTGAGTTACCGTAGCACATGGGCTGTGATGTGGCTTTGGAAAGTGTCCAGTGCTGATGCTTTTCTGCAATTCACCATCCTTGCAGTCCTGTTTGACAAGTTATGGGTAAGAAGCATGATTTTGGTAATCTTGATTTTCCCTATTCCTTGATGCTACTTAAGACAGTGCTGCTTGCCTGTTGGGCAAGTTAAAGACAGAAGCTGCTAGACCAACTGAAACATCTTCTATCCCTGGGTGCTGGTGTCGGGCGGTACAGACGACTCAAACAATATCGAGAGCTCAATGAACACAGTCTTTATTCCTGGGCTTGACCACGAGGACTTCGTGTTACAACAACAACATGATCTGGGGAGCCCGGATGTAGTTTCCCTCAGGGAGGGCCTAGGTACAAGTGACAGGCCAACACTGGGACACATCTTTCTTTGCATGCTGTAAAGTCCCTGCAGTTTGAAGCCAGAACATTTACCCAGCTACCTTTGTCTTGACAGAAGGTGGAAAATCCACCTGTTGTTCTACTGAACACCCTGACAGAAGGTTACTGATAATCAAAATGTAATACAATACAAAATGTAACCAGGCTGTTGATGTTTGGTATTGACTTTGGTTTGTTATCAATTTCAGGTTTGGGTACAGATGTTGAACTACTTTGGTCCTCTTGAGCTTGCATTTGTTATTGTGTTTTCTCAACTGCATTTAATGGAGGTACGACAACTGGCTTAGTAGTTTTATCCACATTTTATCCACCTTTCCACACTAGTATAATGCATCAATTTAATATTTTGATGCATTTGTCTCTCTTGCCCACTTAAGAATCAAAATGGCATCAGCATCTTCTCCTACTTTACCATGTACATTAAGAAAATTTTGCCTTCTCAAATGAAAACCATGTGTTTTTAAGTCTCCAAAGGTGAAAATGTTTCGAAAGCCTCCATGTTTTAGCAGTGTTTTGATCATTACAGCGTGGAGGATAGCTGAAAGCGCATCCTGTTGACTGACACATGTTATATTTCTGCGTGGTTTATGTTTTAATGTAAACTCCACATTCTAATGTAGGATCATTTTAAGTTTTTTTTTGTCTTTCCAGGTGAGAGCATACTTACTTGGAACATAGAATCGTTGTCAAGCTATTCAGAAGCCTTCTAGAGCCTGGTTGGAACTTCTTGCTAATTGTCATAATAATTTATTTTGATGGGTCAAGGTGAATGTCATGGTGATTTGCACTCTTAACCCTTAACATGGCTGTAAAGAATGGTTAAAGTGGCCTCGAACTTCTGTCATGTCAACGTTCACAACTTGGCAACTAAGTTGGCAAAGGAATTCACCGCCATGTTCTGAAGTTTGTGCTTTGACTAATTTGACAACTGTAACTACTGTAACAATAAAATGACTTAGTTCATAGTGAACTTGAGGAACTTCAAACAAATTTTGGAAACTGTTTGTTGAAAGTTTTGTGAAAAGTGCTGTTAAAGAAATTCTTGCTGTGAAAATACTGGTTAAACCTTTTTTCCTGACCATCATATACATGCAACTATGTTATTTCTGTAAAAACTTGGGAAGGAAAAAGGAATGTCATGTGTGTTGTGAAGAATTTCTTTGGCTTAAGTGGCATTTCTTTATTTTCTTTATAATTGTGCCAAATCAGATGTTTAGATTTATGGTGTAATAATATACATTCAAAAATTTCAACACTGTTTGGCTGAGAGCACATCAATAAATCCTGAATGGTGCAGAAAGTTGAAATTAAATTACAGGTATATAGTTGCGCAAATAATCAAATAATTTTTCTCATGCAATTTGGAATGAAGGAGCACTTGTAAATTTTTCAAAGACTACAAATTACACAAGCCTGTAGGGTTACTTTTGCTTATTTATATATTATTGTACTCAAAATTGTTTGATTTAAAACTAGCCTTATTATGTGACTGAGAAAATTATTTCAATGTGATTGGCTGAGAGCAGGCTAATTTATTGTCAATTCTAAATTTGCACTATATGCATTATTTAGCAAATCAATAATAAATCTATATTATTAGATGTTTTGGTGTGTAGTATCGCTGTATATTTTTACAAGTTGTGCTGTATTGTTGCTGAGCTCGTAGGGCGAGTCAAAATAACAAACAACGAGTAAAAATATAAAGTGATACTACACACCAAAACAACTAATAAGAGATTTATTATCCAACTGCTGTAGTCAATAAATTCATCAATGAAGGAGGGAGAGTGTGACACTTTTGTGTGCGCAATTTTTCAGTCATGTAATAAATGAGTAGTAGTATGAAAGCTCAATCAATTAAGGATTTGCAGTACTTCAAATATCACTCTTACTGTAAATCTTTAATTGCACTTGCGTTCATAGGATTACCTTTACGGCCAGTTTTAAGATAATCAATCTAGAATATCAAAGATTTTTGTCACTGTTTTCAGGCACCATCGTAGCTGGAGAGTTGTACTGTAAACATCTATAGGTATATTAATTAGTATTTAAAATTATATTCTTATTGTGCATCTATTTATCACAATGGCATATTTGTTGATAACAAAGGCAAACTCAGCTATTTGTGTACAGCATTATGAAATAAATATTTTTCATTTTTAATGAAAAGTTTAGAACTCTGAAAGTGAAAAATTAGTTGTTTTTATTATTGTCCATCAGTATTTCCTTGAGCACACAATATGTTCATCCCTGGGTGGGTGGATGGGTGCTTTCTGTTGTCTGCTTATTTCGTATGTTTTGTACATTCTTGTACATATTTTTGTGTCAAAATCCTAAATTGGATTTAAGTACACCTTGAGGCTTGAAAAATGAGTCAAAGCGCTGATCGGCATTGGTCCGTCATAAATGAAATTAATTTACAAATAAGTCATTTCAGATCAAACTGTAATAGGACTGTGTGAGTCCCATTTGGTCTGTAACCATACGACTGTAAGTCATTACCAAACTCATAAACTCAGATAACCTCAAAATTGCACTCTGATTTGTTATAATCATGAATATAATTACAGACTTAATTTGGACAACAGGAAGTCCTTTTACCAATTAATCAACTATAGCACAAAAATTATTTGAGGAATAAAGAAAGAAAACAGTAAGAGTATTCTAACAGAAGATGATAGTTGGGTTGCTTTTTTAGGAGCCATGAAAAGGAACACTAAAAATAATTATTAATAATGTTTCCTCCTAGCCTTGGTTGCAAGCTAGTTCTAGTTCGACCAATACCGAGAATACGAATATGGCCTATTCAGAAATTTTGTTATAGGTTGATTAATTCTTCATTTTTGGTGATATTTTATGATTCGAGTTGATTACACATTAATTATTTTTGTTTCTTATGTAAGTTGTATTTAATAAGGTTATGAAAATGTGTGAAATACTAGTGTTGGTAGTCTTATACTAATGCTAATTTATTTTGAAGATTAGATTACACCACTTAACTATAGATGGCAAAGGAAATTAATAAGAGCACTGCAAAATAGATGTAAATGTGATTATTTGATAATGTAAGTGCATAATTATCATAAATTATTGTTACGGTATGATCAGCATCATAACATGCTTCTTAATCTTTGTTAAAAAGTATTGTGTATGAAATGTTAATAATTATTAAAAACTTGTAAATGGCTAGTTTGACCCAGTATTTCATCTGGACAGAGGGACACATCAAAGATGCTTTTGCTTTGGCAAAAAGGTTGAGCACTGCAATTGGTTGAAAGTGGGGCTTGGAGGATGGTGCTTAATGACTTTGCCGAAGCAGAAAAGGTTGATGAGTCCCATGGGCGAGATGCTGCATCAGACTCACCATTCACAAGTTTTTGTCACGAGTAACTTAAATAATTATTTTTTAAACTTTGTTAAGGTGAACTTAGCTCTGCAACTGAGTACCAAGACCAACAAGAATGCTCTAGTCATGGCTATTTGAAAGGAGTTTGATGTAGGGTGTTAAGGTTATTACTTTGCCAACAGCAGTAAACCTGACTAACTCATGACCCCTCCTTTCAAAGATCTGTACAATACTAACACCTTATCCTGTAAATAAATGAAAACATTAAACTCCACTTCATTCTGGAACATGCATGTAGATATCTCTACTGTACAAAGTCTTGTTAGAGATTGTGTAACTGGAAACTTGTGGCCGTACAGGGACACAACTTATTAATAAATTCTGTAATAATAAATTGGGCAATATGTTTTGACTGATGTCGGATCATATGTCATTTTTGAAGAAGAAGAATATGATCGCATAGTAACTTATAAAGGTATTTGTGTCGATGAAATAAAATGCCACTCTTTCCACTGTTGTAGTCTGTATTTAATTATTTAGCCTTACCTCTGACATGCAGTCCACCAGCATGCTTTGTAAATGACACTGGTTAACATATTGTGAACTTTACGATCAGGGAAAAAGATTGAAATATATGATATTCGCCGGTTGGGAGTCTGTATGGTGAACAACTGTGGCCTCAGGCAACATTTTCAAGTCCAAGGTCACAGTTTTGCACTTTACGGACTGACTATAGCCAGTAAATAACTTATTTATTTTTCCTCCCTCCCACTTTTATAATAATTGTCAACTTTTCACACGTTACTGTGACGATGGACAGAGATAGGAAAATCCAGACCGCACTAAGAACCGATCAGATTACAAGATTTGTTACCATGCCCTTTTGGAAAAGATCAAGATAAATCCTTTAATTTCAATGAAGATGAACTGTGCCGTTGTATAATTTGTACAATCTTCCACTCAGTTAATACATTAACAAATATCCGCACCAAAAAACATTTCAATGTTGTCTTGGCATCATCAAGTTGGAAATTAAAATACAGTTGAACCTGTACTGAGTGGCACCATATCAAGCTGTCACCCTCTATTCAGCGGTCAGTTTTAAAGTCCCGAAAACTACTTCCCTTAATTACTGTAATTTTTACTTCTATTAGTGGTCAATTTGCGAAGTCCCAACAGGACTTTGGATCTCTATTGTCTTGACCTGTATTGAATGGTCACACAGTGTCAATTATTTGTTCATACAGTTTCAAATATGTAACAAGGTACAAGGACTTTTCAGCACTGATTGTATTTGAACCGTTCTTCTTGCAACCTGTATTAGGCAATCACCCTGTATTTATAAGCGGTCACTTAGCCATTTCCCTGAGAGTGACTGCTTAATACAGGTTCAACTGTAGTAAGTTTTGATTACAGGTGAGGTGTGAATGGTTCCATGTGTGAAAGTATGGAGCTCCAACCTATTCTCCTAAACTGTCCTCCCTTGCAAACTGTCCCACAGTAAATGCCTGGCAAGCCTCCTACACAGACGCTCTTTGGGTTCGTCACGCAATCTTGTGCGGAAGATTGTGTGATGAGCCCAAAGACTGTCTGCGTAGGCGGCTAAAGCCTGGCCACACTGTTTAAATTTCCCCTTGGTCAAAAGGAAATCATTGTCCAAGACACTTACCACAGGTAGAAACCGGCTCTAGTCAGAATCTTTGTTTTCAAAAATTTATTAAAAATTTCTGATCAGAAAACTGTCATTTCAAATACAAGTACTGTCTGTAGTAATTTTTTCCATGTTTTAGGTTAAGCCTACAGTTTTAATAATTATAACTATAATTATTATAGTATTAACCAATGAGGTGCAAAATGTTTTCTTACAAATTATTAAAGCCTACAGTATACAGAACTTATATTAAATTTTGTTTCCCTAAAAGAGTTACGAATAGGGTATTAAAAATCTGCAGATAGTGTCAGATCCTCAACTCTGCCCCCAAAATAAAATTATTAAAATCTATTAATAGTAAATAAATAAATAGACACAATTCTGCAACATCAAGGAAGTTTCTGCTAAGCTTAATACATCTCTAAGAAAGAGAAAAAAATCAGGCAAGAGGAGTTACCACTTGTCTCCTATCACAAGCAGATAAACTCCCTTAGATGTATGACCAACTCTTCAATACAAACATTTAAAGAAAAATGCAAACTTGAAGGTTCAAGGCAGCATCATTTAGTCAAGTTAAGTTTTCCTTTCCCATAGAGAGTGATAAATTATGAGCATGGGATATATACCATGCTAAAAATAAAAACTCTATAAACTGTAAGAAAGATGTTCTTATCCAGGAACCTGACAAGAATGATTATCATTGTATTCTATGTTAATCAGGTAAACAGCATAATGCCAGTGCTGGATGGCATTAAAATGTACGTTCGCAGGAAGGGAGATGGTGTACTGTTCACACAAGGAGATACAGGAAGGGACAAACTGTAGAGGTGACCCCTCATAGAGTTGGCGGAGCTTGTATGTGTTTGCTTAGTTCTTTGTCAGCTTCACCACTGTAATTTTTTGTTATTGCAGCCTCATGTGGGATGACTATTTCAAGGCCAGTGATCCACAAGAGCATGCATCATTGGTTCTATGCAGGGTAAGTGACTAGTCTATTTCGCATCATATAATCTCTTATATAATGCCAAATAGTACATTTCATTACTGGTTTTTATGTCAACTTGACTGTAGCAAATATAATTTACTGATTAGTGAAGCCAAAATTTATATTTTTAGAACAGCAATAATGTGCAGCACATTAAAATGCACATTTTTTTTTATTATAAGCCCTTTGACAATTAAAAAAGCTGCTCACATTCTTAGTGGTCCTTTAATTGAAATAATTTCATAAAAACACATTGATAATATAATATTGCATTATTTTAAGGTCATATAACTTTGATACAGCTGTATAATATATTCTATAAAACACAAATATGATACTGAGTTTGGGTAATGCAAACAAAGCTTGAATTGTGTTTGTGGGAAGTCTCACATCACATTGGCAATGTTGACAACATCAACTAATACTATACCCTCAAAATTCTTGGTCGAATCAAACAGAACTGGTGAGGAAGTTCTTAACGTGTCTCAGTAAAAGTATATCAAAGGTACATGCTGAAGAGGACATCATATTATTTATTGCTCAATGTCGAAAAATGAAGATATCTATTTACAAAGCATTTTTGACTCCCCTTTCCTCTCGCATTTAATTATTTCTTATCTATCTTATGGTTTACTGTTAAATGCAGTTCCAGAAATATCCATTCCTATCCCAAGGAAGGTTAGCAGAAATTCTGAGGGGGAGGGGGGAGAACTAGTTAAACTGAAAATTCCTAAGGGTTGGTTGAGCAAGGGAGGGGAGGGAGGGGGGAGAGCTAACCAAAAACATTATGTCAGGAGTATGGATATTTCTGAAGTACTTAACATTCCTTTACTAAACCCTCTTCAACAATTTTTTAGCCTACATTTAATGAGCTAGGCATCTCATGTGAGAAAACCACAATGCCAAAACCCTATCTCAAGTCTTTGTATGAAATGTTCTTACTAACTACTTATCAACCAAGAGTGAGGTCTTTACAGGAAAATCTCAGACTGAGACCTTGCCGTGTTGACTGTCAGAGCGATAGTGAGGTTAATATGGCAAGGTAGAGGTTTGAGATTCTCCCATTAAGACCGAACAGTTGAGGTTGATATTAAGTTGTTTACTATATGGCTTTTTGCTTTGTTTTAGCAAGCATGCAATCCACCCATGGGCATATTATGGGAGAAATTATAATTCCCTACAACTAGCCAATTAGAGTGCACAGTTTGTCAGTTACAAGAATATGCCATATAATAAATGTATGAAAGTTGCTACTAGGTCATGCATTGTGCATGAATGTTGTTTAATGAGGGCAAACTTATCATGAATCAAATCTCTTCCTAGTAAGTAAATCACAAAGTACTGTACAGTACGTATGAAAAGAAGTTGGAAGAATTTCAACTTTGATAGAGTAAATGACAGCAGGCCAGCTGACTCATTCATCCTACATGACAGGAAAATCAGACTGCTCAACTGCAAGGAAGAGAAACACACATCCCAAAAACAACACAAATGAACCAAAGATTAAACTGAATGTGACTGAGCTAGTGAACTGTCAAGGAATATTTCTTGGGTGACCAGGTCTGTGATAAATAACTGAGAAACATCAAATATTTTCCTGTCCAGACTGAATAACACCTGATTTGTTTTTGTTTTTTTTTCACATTCTGAATTGTGCATGGTAACTAATTCCTCAAACAAGGGTCCTGGGCTGGATGACTTTTTATGGACTGACTTGTGTCAGTCTTTCCAGCTCTTCCTATATACATTACAATATGGTCAATATTGTCTTGAACAAGTGCATCACTGGATTCACAAAATGGTATGTATGTGATATTCCTAGTAAAGGCTCAATATGAATCTATATTCAATAATAAAATTATTACTTCAGTCCATAATTAAAATTTTGAATAACTGCTTATATACACATTAATTTTGAAAATGTTTACAGAGTTGCTATTCCAAAACTACATCGACTAGAGCACATGCTCTTTACATTGTGCCATGTGTTGGAAGATGGATCGTAGCGTTGAACAAGACTAAGATAACCTGTGCCGTCATGACCACCAACTGAATACAGAAGTCCATTCAACACCGCAACACTAAGACCTGTGCGAGGGCGACTCATTGGGGCTACCATAGTCCACTCACTGGAGACTGGGTCAAATCGTTCAACACTTCGTAAATGGGACACGCCATTGTGGCCACCTGAAAATAAAATAAGTAAAATTAGAAAATAACCCAAAGGAAATATGCACGCTGATTGGTTTAAAATAGTGTTTCTATAAGTTGATAGAAACACAGAACTGGCACGAGCTGTTTCAAGAGCAGATGTAATGATAGCGCGAGTAAAGAGAATGTACATTTTGATGGTCAAAGTAAACAAAATTAATTGTTTTCTTTTTTTGTCTCAGAATTTTTTAAAAGAAAGAGAAAACATGTTCTCTGTGTTCCTATCAAGTTATAGAAACACTCATAGAAGTTTGGGAGAACTTGAAAAAGCTGTGGAAACACTCACCTGTCTCCCAAACTTCCACTATCGAGTTATAGAAACACGGTACATATTTTATATTTCTTAAATAAAGTTTTTATGTTCATGTAATCAATTGTGTTGTCACGGGAACACTATTAAACATACCAAATGTAAAACATTTGCTCACCAACTACATAGAGGCATCCATTCAAAACCCCCACTCCAAAATTGATTCTGTATGTGCTCATTGCGGGCATCATCTCCCATGAATTAGAGGCAGGGTCATACCGTTCAACAGTTCTCAGATAGGATGGCCCATAGCCCCCAAGAGCATAAAGATATCCATCACAAACTGCTGTGGCAAAGCAGCTTCGACTGTAGTGCATTGGTGCCACATGACTCCATTGTTTGGTGTGACTGTTGTAGCATTCCACTGTGTTGAGGTATGAGTTGCCATCATAGCCTCCAAGAGAATAGAGGAAGCCACCTGGACAAAAATAAATAATTATTTAGTACTATACACTAACAGGCAATCATTAAAGATTTACTGAAAGTCAAAAATGTAGAAGCCATTACTTCCCAATCCTTGTTTCACGAACCTTTAAATTTTATCTGAGATTTACTCCTTTTGTGTAGAAAATAAACAACTGAGATATCACTTCCCTGAAAGCTCACTCTCCCAGATTTCCCTGAATAGTAGTCCAGGTAAAGAAAACAAAAAGTCTGCATACAAGCCAAGTGGCCCACCAGGCCAGAGCTTATCCTGGTTTCTGTAGCATGAAGCAACTAGGAGTATTTCTACTCCCCCCTGGATGGGATGCTAGTACATCACAGGGTTACCCCCTGCATTAAGTTTGCCGGTACCCATTTATACACCTGGGTGGAGAGAGGCACTGCGAGACTAAAGTGTTTTGCCCAAGAACACAACACAATGTCCCTGGCCAGGGCTCGAACCCGGACTGATCAATCCGGAAACCAGCGCACTAACCATGAGCCCACCGCGCCTCCCACAGAATAGTAGTCTACACAGCTTTTATGAAATTTGAAACAATTTTTTACATTCCCTTACCTAANATCGATCTGGAAACCAGCGCACTAACCATGAGCCCACCGCGCCTCCCACGGAATAGTAGTCTACACAGCTTTTATGAAATTTGAAACAATTTTTTACATTCCCTTACCTAACGGTTGCACTGTGTGGTTGCTGCGACATTGATTCATGGGTGGCACTCTACTCCATTGACCAGTATCAGGATCAAAACACTCACTTCCATTATCACAATATCTGAATGGTGCACCACTGTGCACGCCAACACCGCAAACAAGGCCACCAACTGCATAAAGTTTACCTACAAGAAACAAGCAATCAAAGACTTATGCCCTGTCTGTGCAAGTACAGCTGCCTTACTTTAGCACCAACAATTTGCTATTGAATGATATACTTGTATTAAGTAATAACTACTGTGTAAAGACATCAAGGCAGTCCTAGAGTCATATTTTATTAAATGTGAACATTTGTCAGGGATAACGCCTGGGGGTGGGGGGGGGGTAACCCCCTTATGGGCTATATAGGTATGTGCGACCCCAAAGGGTATGGTTTTTCAGCTGTTTCGGTCATAATTAGGGTATCAACTTTGGCCATTTTGGTTTTACATAGGGTATGGTATTTGTACTCTGGTCTTGAATTGGGTATGTTGTTTAGAAGAAGCTACTTTGTCATCATTATCGATAAGGCCATAAACAAAAACCCTTCAAAAATTATGTTTATAGCTGGGCAACTGTGTCAGCCGCAATGGTCATAAATAGGGTATCAAAGTTTTGGTCTGGTCATAAATAGGGTGGTGAAAATCGCAGATTTTGACCATAAATAGGGTAAGGGTTTTGGGAAGTGGGTTGCACACCCCCACCAAATTTTTCTGGTAGTACCCCCCTCCCCCCAGGGAATAGCGCAGCTACCCAGAACAACTATTTGCTGATCTATTTAATTCTCATAGCTGACCCTGAATCAGAGAGGTGGTCCTTCCTACACTAGAGAAACATAATCTTTCAAAAAAAAATTACCTGCTGCTGTATTTAGTGTACAAACGGGACATACAGACAAGGCCCCAGTTTAATTTGCCAGTCAAGATTTGGAAATTAAAGTAGATCCCTTTTCTTGAGGAAATGCCTAGCACAGACATGATTTGTCTCATTCCCATTTTAAAAGCATTAATAGATTATCTGTCTCAACTAAGTTTGTCTCCTCATTTGTTGTTCAAGATGCATAAAAGCAGTTTGTTATGATGCCTAATCCATCAAGTTCCTGTCTTTCCACTGAGACAAAGAGTCTGTCATGCTAAAAGAACTTGCTCTCTCTCAGATACTTTCAATAAGATTAACAAAATTCAAAGCTGTTGTCAGTTGAATAAAATATCCCTAAATTGATTTTGAAATTTTAATATAATTCAGTCAGCAGAAACTCAATGTTACATGATGATTGGCTTCTGAATGTGATATTTTCCCTTTTAGTTTCTATTCTTGTCTTTGAAATCTGACTTGGGTTTGCAAATAACTCTACCTACCTAAATAAATACCTGCAAAATTGTGGCTGTGAATGTGGGAGGAGACAGGTTTGTTTACCCCTTTTGGTACAAATATTTAAATTATAAATAACAAAAATTGAAAGATCATTGATAGCACTAATCTGTCATCAAATTGTGAATGATTAAAAATATTTTAACAGTCAACATTGCAATTGGTCAAATTATCCACAAAACGTGTATTCACTACCGGTGAATCACACAAAAACAAATCAATGACTCATTTTCGTGACCAATAACTGCATTGTGGACTGTTGACGTGAATACAGCTTTAAACTACGTAAGGGACTTAATTACCATCTAAAACCGCTGCTCCAAACTCGAATCTTCTGAGATTCATGCTCGATACTTCAACCCATCTGTCTCTTTCGGGTTCATAATATTCAACACTACTCAAAGTGGCAAAAAGGCCATTTTTACCACCAAGTGCAAAGATGCGTTTCGGTGCTCGACGAGGATTCACCGTTGTGTCACAAGAAAGGCATTTTCCTTGCACAAGTCTGTATTTTAACGCTTCGTTTAATAAAATTTGGCTCGTCCTGTCTGCGCGAATCAGTTCATTTGTCTCGTAGTTAAGTGTGAGGAAACGCAATGTCAACAGAGGTAACCGGACGTACTGAAGCAGTTTTCCAAGGAGTGAAATTCTATCCTGGAGTTTGTGTTTAATCCAAGATAGCACTGCTTCAAACACTACTTGTTCTGATACAACGTTTAGGTTGTCATCCCGGAGTAGCTCCGTCAGCTGAGAAGCTGAGAGAAGGAGAAATTCCTCGTGTTGGATCACTTCTTGAAAGTGGTCTTGAACGTACTTCCTTGATTTCTTCGTAAGGCTCTGACAAGAGTAGGCTTCCGCAAACTTGCTGATTCCTAAACAGTTGCTCGAATGAAGCTGCTGGCTAAGAAAATGGCAGCAGATCTCCTTGACCCTGTTTAACTGCAGCAAATTGGCAGCTGGTAGCAAAACTTGGACGTTCTCTTGTGTGACTTGAGCTTTTCCGGTGTACGCGAAATCGACCAGAATATGAAGCGCATTTTCGTCGACTTCTTTTAATTGGATGACTTGTTTTTGGCTTTCAAGAAGTTTTCCCGTGAACATAGCATTAAAGTAGGGACTGCAAGCAGAAAGGACCACACGATGGGCCGAAACCCTGTGTTTTCCAGCACAAAGTTCAACATCGCAAAGTTCTCGGCGCTGTCGCAGTTGATTCAATCCTTTTAGCAGCTGGTTTGAATGTACCACTTCTGGCGTTCCCGAATTAGCCTCCGATTCATTCACCATCGTTTTTCAATCCCTGCATTGATCAATGCAAGGGAAAACTGACGAACACATTGAAATTTCAAACCAAAACAAGCGATATTCCCTTCGAGAAACCTTTT